TAAGTGGGCTAAATGGATCCCATCACATTTTGGAGCACATCCAAATCACAGGGCATATGTATGCATTATTTCTCACTTGTGGAAATGGTCTCAGTGGAGCTCTCGTGTTTTTTCTTTGAATGTTTATGGATTTCTGGATCAAAAGCATCACATGTTCTACATTTTGTATGATGTTTCTTGCACATCACTTTCACTTATTCAAGTACTTACTACGAAGTCTTTTTGGTTCCCTTGCTGTCATTTTCAATTGATGTCTGTCTCTCTTTTTCCTCCCCTTCCACTCGTTCATCCCTGATTGCATTTTTTACCTTGTTTGCCCATTTGTGAGGCTTGATTTTCTGTCTGGAACAAAATGTTTCTCCCCTGCTCTCGGCAAGGGTGCAGAGAAATGTTTGTCATTCAGTTTGACACCTTAGACATCTTTCCTCCCAAGTTCCTCCTGCCTGGAGCTGAAGTGCAGGAGAGTACTCGTTTTCAGAGAGACACAGAGGGTAGTTTCTGTCACTGTCAGCAAAAAGGACAACTCTCTTGTCCAGCTCAGTGTTGCTGTTAAAAAGATTTACATGTTCTTCTATCTCAGGTGCTGAGAGGCTGTTGGAAGTTTAACTGCACTCCACTTAAATGTAGTGCTAAAATAAGATGAATCGACTATTGTATTTCTGGTGATCAACATCTGGACGTCAAACAGATGAAGAAATACATCTGATTTATCAATTGATTGAATGATTTATCAACTAGGCCTTTCATTTCCATTCTGAGTACTTTTCAAATCAAGCATCCTCAAACTGTGGCAGTGTAATGATGACAAATAAACAATGTGAGAAAAGAAAAATTAATGTTCTATCTAGATTGTGCTGGGGTTTGAAAGTCCCAGTAATCTCTATGCAAATAGCAAGTTAGCACACGTTGTTATCTGCAAATCAAAAATGCGTTTTACCAAAATGGCTAATACAGAATTTCGTTCACCTTACCAAAACACAAAAATGGGTTTGTCTCCTGAGTGTAAGAGGTTTTTTCCATATAAAACTTTAATTACCACTGAGTTTACACTTGACCGTAATGAGCTGTAAAGTGCATATATTATGCAGATACAATCCACCTGCACAGCCCGAACACATGTTAAAAAGCATTTACGAGCCTCCGGTGGGTCCTCTGAAACTTTTAATGCCCATTTATGCTGTCTTGTATGCCAGATGGATCCGTGTTCCCAAGGCAAATTATTTCTCATTATTTTGAGAGCTGAATGAATGCTTTTAGTGCTTCGAGATACAATAATGTATTTTCCTGGAGAAAAAAAAAACACCTCGAAAAAAGCAATGTTTATGTCGGCACCAGTCACAGCCCACAGTAGAGTTCAAGCAACATTGCAAAAAAAGAATGACGCATGACTAATGTAAAACATAATTGTTTGTAATTAAATAGCGAAGTGACGGATGATAGAGGTGAGATTCACATACACCCACACATACACACACACACCCACACAATTAAATATCTTTATCTCTTCGGTGGATTGTTGGAGAGATTGATCAGGTATGCCTGACAGGTGGGCTCAAAGCTTAAAATCATTCTTCGGCTTTTTGTTTTTATGTTTTCCTCCCACCGCAGCAGGCAGATAAATCTCCCAGTCATTGTTTTGCAACACATATTCACATTTTCCATGCCACCATTTTCATGCAGTTACAACTATGTTCTTGTAAATCACAGTAATTGCAGAAGGATTTGCATTTGAATGTCAACAACCTAATGGCACTTGCATATAATAACAATTGATAATTGGCAGCCCTTGTATTCACAAAGGCTTATTTGTAACAAGTGCCTGTCTGAATGAAGGTACGTTTTGCTATAAATGAGAATCATTATAAACCAAAACATGAGAATCTGAGCATTAGAAACAAATTAATAATCCTTAAACATGCATTGAAAACCAATCCAAGATTTACAGATTAGTCATTTTGAGGGAGTGACAGGATTGATGATCATCCCTTGATTTACACAAGCTGATATTAAACCAGGTTGGTCATTTATACTGTGTTTAGCTCTCTAAGCTCGACACGGCACATGGACGTCCTCCAGCTATTCTGCATTTACAGTAAGCTCTTTGACATTAAGTTGTTAGCAAGGATACACAAAGCCCCCCTGCTTCCCATATTAAAGCGTCTTGTTAAACAACAATTAATTAATTGTCCACATGATGGGGCTGCCCATTGATTTCGGAGACCTCAAACAACTCCCCTGGATCTTTTGAACGGCCTGTTGGAGGGAATGAGACGCTGGAGGGTGCTTCAAAGGATCCGTTACAGTGGCACAGACACTGAGGGGCTCAGTGTCCCTGCAGGGGCTTCATACAGTAGAGCACTGAATACATCCCAGTCTTTACACTACAATTGAAACCCTTTGTTCTGGGTTGCACTTTTCCATTGGCTTGATTAACAAACCCCAATACTTGTTAGCGTTCAAAAACCTTAAACTGTCTTTGTTAAACAAGATTTGTATTTCTCAAATGCACCTTTCCTGTGTTAACTTATCAAAAGGTTTGACATGCGTGTTCCTCAAAGTAAGGTGTTCTTTCAGCATTAGTATTTAGTCATACACAATCATTTTTCAGAAGTCTAACACCTGCTCACATCGAACACATTTCTGTTTTATTTCATATTTTTTAAACCAATTTGTGTTTAAGCTAAACACATTCTATGCTTTGCCAGGTCCTATAGCTTAATCCTCGAGGAATATGTAAACAGCCTATGCGCGAACAACCATTACATAACAACATGTATTATATTGCGAGCTTTATTTGGACTAAAACCTAAACAAAATGATTGTAATGCTTCTGAGCGAACCACATGAGCTTCTACCACTCTTCTTGCGAACTGTTCTGATACATTATTTCAGTGTAACACCGTATACAATATGAGCTGCTGAAGTCATAAAGCAGGAGGGAAAAGACAGGAAGTATTTTATTAGAACTCAACAAATAGACTAAGTTGTCTGCGATTAGATTCAGTCTGATGAAGCATCTGCAGAATCAGCTAAGGAGCAAACACTTGCGGTTTCATTCTAAGGAATCTACCCTGACTGACGATTACTTGTCCAAGGATTTATTTTATTTTGGTCTATGTCCTGACTGATGTGACTTGTCTTTCTAAAGCCCGTTTTGAACCTCCACGAGAAGCTCTTAAACCCTCTTTACTTCCTGCCGTTTCACATTGCAGGAGCAAGCAATTACACTGCTTCCATTTCATCTTGTCTTTGGGTCCACACTTCACATCTTCTGCACCCGGTTGACAGGATGTTGATGAGGAATTTCAAAAGTCTGTCTCAACAGCATTGTTTCTCCACAGCGTGCTGACAGCTGGTCCAACAGAAAGTTGTATGTGTGTGGCCTTGGGTCCCCGTGTATAAAAAGTCAGAGGAGTGGAAGAGCAGCTGCAGATTTTCAACCCACTTTGAAAAACAAAATGTTTGGACTACACTTTATGCCTTGGAGAAAAAATATGATTTTTGTAAAAAAAATTTTTTAATATTCATCTAATTTGCTTCTAAGGGAACTCCAAATTAATTTTGTTCTCATAGAAAATCGAAGCTGGAGGCATTGAAACCACAGATATTATCTTTTATTGTGGACATAAAGTATTCATGGGTTTGTTTATGGCTGATAGATTTGCATAAACAATTATTATTTGAAATGACCCTCATTAAATCAGGCTGCAGAGGACGTATTGTGTGTAATACTCAGAGTGCTCGTCTGGCTTAATGAAGACTTATTTATAACTGCATGCAAAATATGTTTCTGCTACTTCGTTCTAAAAGGAGTTTTTTACGTTGTTACTACGTCTTGGGAGAAATCCCTTTGTCTGGTTAGTGTTTTGGAAAAATGATTTGAACAGAATTTTTTACCTTCTCATCCGAACTTTTTTTTTTACTTAACATGTCTAATGCAGAGGTGACAAATAAATACTTATTATTGAATTACCACTATAAAAACAGCATTTAATAGAAAGGCTATACAACATGGAGTGGGACTTTTTAACCAAAAATACAAATCTTTAAACATTACCTAACACAAGTTACAAACTCTTTATAATGGATGTTTTATTGGAAAGTGGTCCTATTTGATTAAATTATTTATTAATGTTTATTAAATTATTTGTTGGTCATTTCAAATTATTTGATCAAATAAAAGTACAATAATCCGTACAAGATATTTCTTGTGTCTAACCACGGCATATTGATTTATATAAGAAATCCAATAAGCCGTGGATATTTTCACCAGAATTCCACACATTAAGACATTTTTCATTTTACAAACTTAATTCAACTAGATGATTAAGTTTCTAATAAGTAGTTAACACCATCTGTCTTTGAACACATCATTGGTGAGAGTACAGTGTTCTTTAATTGTTTTACTTTCTTATATACTTTATTGCTAGTATTAATAGGGATAAACACATATAATGAAGATTTTCTGTTGTTGTTTTAGACACGTACTTGTATTGTCTTAATTGATGCAGAGCTAACTTTGGTTTGTCTGAAGGAGGAGCTTCCTGTTTCAAAGAAGGTGTAGAGCTTCTCCTTCAGGGCACTTCCTTGTTTGAGCTAAATTTGGTTTGGTGCAAACTTGTTTGAAGCTTGATGCCAATCGCTGTGGGCTTAGCTCAAACGTTTCCCTTGTCTACTTACGGGATTTCATAAGTTATTTTGGAAAAGTTGTATTTGTTTACTTTAGTTGACTCTTTAAGGTTTGAATATAGCTTTGTTTTTATGACGGTCTGGACTGCTTTTTGCTGTAAATAAACTGAAATGTACACCAGATAATGGGTTCCTCAGTCACTGAGTTCAACCAGTTAGCTTATCTTTACAATGATACTATAATTTCCTTTTGTTATGTGTTTGTGATGGGATTTGAAAGGTTCTAATCTCAACCCACAGATCCAAATCCATGAATGTAATCTCTGTGCAGTGACAGTGTTCTTGTGTTTGTCCCCCCTCTCCATGTGCAGGCGGTATATTTGAGACCAGGGAGAGTGAGTTAGTCAGCATGGACGAGCTGGCGTTCAAATTTGCTGTAAATAACATAAACCGCAACAAGACCCTGATGCCCAACACGACTCTCACCTACGACATTCAGAGGATCAACCTCTTTGATGGCTTTGAGGCTTCAAGGAGAGGTAAGAAATGATCAGATGTAGCTATGCTAAGCTATAGATTTACAGTAGTTACTGTAAGCGATGACAACATTATCACCTTAATCAATCATGTGTGTAGCATAACATGTACTCTAAACACTTCTATAGAAAACTTCAAGATGGAATTCTTTTGTTTACACATTTCAATTTTATGTCGATTTATTGGACAATAAACTATTTTGAATCTGAAACCAAAGAGGCTCAAGTTGAAAATTGTAATCTTTTGTTTGAGGTCTATTAAGCTATTTAACTTTCTTTACAAGAGTGGGGCAAATTGATCAATTCCTTTCTAATCACCATACAGGGAATCAATAAGATTAGCATAACCTAGCTTAATTACTGGGTAAAGGGGATTGATACAGTAGCATCTCTTAAAGGTGGGGTTGGTAATTTTAGAGAAACCAGCTCGAGATCACTAGAATTTGAAAATACACAACCGGAGAAAATCTTCAACTTCCTTACAGAGCCCCTCCTCCAACACACACGAACGCGCACATGACCAAGGAGGGCACGAGATAAACTTGTGCACAGATGGAAGGCTGACAGGCAGGTAGTCCATCCAATCATTTTAGCCAGGCCGGCTAAGATGATTGGTCGTGCTTTTTACAGAACTACGGCTTCCACAGATGACATTTTTTCATGGATTTTTTGTCAAAGCACTTCAGATATTCATTGCATTGGATGTTAAGAGCATTCCATGGAATATAACAAAAAGTGTATCTCGAGCCGGATTCTCAAACTTACCTACCCCACCTTTAAAGAGAGGAAAAAACACATGAACATTATATAAAACCTACAATTAGAAATGTTCTTTGTTATTGAAGGCAATTATTGACTAATGTCTTCATTACTCTAATACCAATGCAACGTAGGCTAAAAGCGTGTGATTGTCTCTCTTTGGTCCAAAAGCTTATTTTTTTACAATTTGTATTATTTGAACAAGTCCTTAAGTATTGAATATTAAAGTGAACCTGATCTGCAATGGACTTTGTTTGAGAAACTGTCTCCAAACTGTGATGACACCCGTCTGACTTTGTGTTGTTTTCACCTTGTTCTTCCCCCACAGTATGTGACCAGCTGGCTCTGGGGGTGGTCGCGGTGTTCGGCCCGTCTCACAGCTCCTCGGTCAGCGCCGTCCAGTCTATCTGCAACGCTCTGGAGGTCCCTCACATCCAGACCCGCTGGAAACACCCGTCGGTGAACAACAAAGACACCTTCTTCATCAACCTGTATCCCGAGTACACCGCCATCGCCAGGGCCATCCTGGACGTGGTCACGTTCTTCAAATGGAGGAAGCTGACTGTGGTTTATGAGGACAGCACAGGTAGGGCCATCGGTTTTTTATCTGTCAGATTGCCATTGTAGATTTCAAAACAGATTCATATATATATGTACTTCAAGTCTTTTCATGGTGCCATGCATGAGTAGAGATGTACTAGAAGGTAAACCCATTTGATTAAGTCTGCAATTTATATGGAAATCATTTCCTCAAAGTGTTTTGATCAAATATATATGTATGAAATAAAGAAAATATCCAAGAGATTTTTGAGAACGAAAAATATCACTCATGGAGGATTCTGGATAAATTCAGTGCTCCGGTCACTCAGACACAACAAAACAATTCAGCTCAAAAATCTGTAACTTACTGTACATCTACCTGTAATAAAATCAGCGATCAATATATTGTCTTGTATTGTGATATCCAGTTTTTTTTTCAAACTGGGTAACAGGGGCGCTGCGCCCTCATACCAAAATGCAGATTTCCCCCGTAAGCTGTAAAGTGATGCCAGAAAACGATATTTCTGTTTGTCAAAAACTGTATAATTACTCCAAAAATATGAAAATCGTGTCAAACAGTCGCGTTGATGTTTACGTCCACGGCGCCATCTTGTATACGGGCGTCAGGTTCTCACGAGAATTGATATTTCTTATATACAAGATCAGCGCCCTCATACTATATTTTCTTATAGTTAATAATATAATTGGACTGGAGACTGCAATGTGTCCTGATTTGTCCTACTGCATGAAAGAATATCAACTATGACATTGTGTGGCATTTGAAGTGAGAATAGGTCTGGCTCTTGTTTCTCGACATTACAATGTATTCATATGTGAAGGTCATAATAACTCACAAAAATGCTGTCCACCAATGCCACCTTTAGCTAGTGAACCCAATCTGTGACAGGGCAGAGTTCCTGGTATCAAACAGCTGCCAGTGCTGCTGCCCTCGGCCTTAATGCTGCAGAGAAGAGCCAAAACACAACACCCACGGCCTCAAATCCAGAGAGTTCCAATATGGAGTCCCAGCCTATGACCTAGAGAATATGAAATGCTGCTGTTGAAATGTCAACGTTTATAGATTTTTCATTTTTTCCTCTTTTTCCCTTTTCATTTTCAATCCACATTTCCCCCCCCCTGAAATGTCACACAGACACACACACACACACATACAAGATTCAGGGAAGGTGTGTGTTATCCTTTGATGGGGTTTAAAACAAAGTAGAAGAATTTGAAAAAAAGATGCAAGACATTTGGCAACAGGGTGATGCAGTGAATAGTGATTACATTCCTCAGTTGAATATGAGGCACCAAGTATTACGGCAAGCACGAGCTTTGCTGAAACGTTCTTTACCGTGACATAATGACCTTCATGTGGCGGAGCTAGGAATGCGTAATTTGTAAAAGGGGATAAATAAAATCAAGTCTCATTTGCCAACTTGTTTTTGTAGGACTGATGCGGATGCAGGAGTTAATCAAAGCTCCGGCAAAGTTCAACCTGAAGATCAAGATCCGCCAGCTGACCCCCGGCAACCAGGATGCCCGACCGCTGCTGAAGGAACTGAAGAAAGACAAGGAGTTCTTTATTCTCTTCGACTGCTCCTATCGCATGGCAGCGGAGCTCCTGAAGCAGGTTCGTACAGAGTCTCCTGCAATATTCTGTCATTCCACAGATTTTCCGAAACATTTATGTGTGCTTTTGGGGGCTTCACGTTATTTCTTTGTTTCCCATAAACACAGATGGTGAAGTTCGATAGCTGACGATTAATTAAATAACAGACATGCTGACACACGTTTTGAGACTATTCTTAGTGAAGTTCATGAATGTTTTTTCATGTAATTGTTTAACAGCCGTATTGAATTCCATTAAATAAATCTTAAAGTGGAGCTATCATGCTATATTTGAATAATATATTGTAGGGCCATACCTATATAAAACATGTCTGTGAAGTTTTTTTTTCAAAATACCAAACAGATCAGGCATTTTAGCCATGCCTCATTTCGCTCTATTTGCTCTATTCCAGCCCTGTCTTCACAAGGGCTGATTCTGTGGCAAATGAGCTGCAGCTGACCACGCCCCCCTGCAAAGGAAGGGGGCGAGGCACGAGCGTCATGTTACCATGCTGTTACCATGCTGTTACCATGATGTTAGCTGTTACCATGCTGTTACCATGCTGTTACCATGTTGTTACCATGCTGTTACCATGCTGTTAGCTGTTACCATGCTGTTACCATGCTGTTAGCTGTTACCATGCTGTTACCATGCTGTTAGCTGTTACCATGCTGTTACCACGCTGTTACCATGCTGTTACCATGCTGTTACCATGCCACGCAACCTCTCATTCCCCTAATAGGTGGAGAGTTGCCCATATAGGCGGAGCTCCTTGTTTCTGACGTCAGAGATATTTCAAATCTGGATCAGTCTGTATCAGATCCGTTGCAGCCCCGTTTTTAGAGATTTGGGTATGGAGGAAAATAGAGAGGGTTGTGTTTTCTGACACTTGGTGAGTTCCCTGACACATATTCATGTATAAAAGACGTATAAAAATGCATTTTGCATGATAGGTCCCCTTTAATGTATAACATATTTGATACACCACACAAAAGAAAAATCACCAGCAGAATATCTTTGTTATTGAAGATTTGAATGTAGCTGAAGCGCTGGAGAACTCATATGTCTGCAATAATGCCCTGACATTTCTTTTATTACTTTCTTTCTTTTCATTGTTTGCAGCTCTCATCAATGGGAATGATGACCGAGTACTACCATTTCTTTTTCACGACTTTGGTGAGTTAGAAAACCGTATGACTACAATTATTTTATTGAAGATACCAGACAAAGGAAAAAACAAAGCTGATGATTTGTGTGCTCATTTGGCCTTGAACTGGCGTTGTAAATTCTCTCAGGATGTTAAAAAATGCTGCCCGTGCGCGGCTCATCAATTCAAAGTAAAGGCTGAGAAAGTTGCACCCTGAGCTAGATCTCAAAGCTATTTCCTGCCCTTTCTTTTATACATATCACACACACCAAATCATACATTTCCTTTTGCTTCCCTCCTCCCCCTGCAGGATCTGTTTGCGTTGGACTTGGAGCCGTACCGCTACAGCGGGGTCAACATGACCGGCTTCAGACTGCTGAACTTTGACCACCCCTTGGTAGCTTCCACTATGGATAAGTGGGCTATGGAAAGACTGCAAGGTCCAAAACAAGAGAGTGGCCTGATGGACGGAATCATGACTGTAAGCCAGAAACACACATACTGATGAAAGCCCAGGATTCACATTTGTATTCTGCCTGCTTTTCTGCACACAGCTGCTAACCTTTAAATCTTTGCAGAGGCTGTATTTCAGCATGATAAAAAATGTTATCGCTGTAATCCTCACTTGTATTTGTTCCGTCATAATATCTATACGAAATCTGCTGTTTATTTTACTTCTTCATCTTCAAACCGTGCTCTCTCGGTTTCTTACTGTAATTCATCTTGTTTACAACCTGCCTTGACATGTGAACGACACATGCGCAGTGTGAGAAAAAAACATCTTCCTTGTGGAGGAAATTCTTAAGAGAAACTGATAAGTGATGCATGGACAAAGTTGGTCTTTTGTTATATTTAATAAAGTAATAAAGAAAGTCAATATACAAGTGAAATCGATCTCAAATGCAGGAACAGAGCAACTTCATCCTCAGAGGACAGAGAAGTTCTGCACCCCGAACACAGCTCACAGTCCCGCTATATATTCATGAAAGGAAACAGCCAACTGGTCCTACATCCCATCATTAAACCATAAAACCCCCTTGTCCCTAACCATTTACAAATCCCCCTTTTACACTTCCTTTTGACCTCCTGATAAGTAAAACCTTAACATATGTCTCTCTCAGAGATGGCAAAAGTACACACATACTTTACTCAAATAGAAGTACAGATACTCATGTTTAAAAATGTTGGTAAGTAGAAGTACTGACTAAACTTATTTACTCAAGTAAAAGTATGGGCTTCGAAATGTACTTAAGTAAAAAGTACCCATCACTACCAGCTGTTTTAAAGAGTACCTGACCTCCCTTTATATTAATAGAAAAATAATGTCATTGTTAGCTAATGAATGTTTCCATGCTGAACAACGGCAACATGACAACGTTTTAATTCGTCCCTCTTCTTTAGAGAAGACCAGGAAATGATGGATACACGGATCGTGTTCAAATCAATAGGCACGCAATGACTCCATAGAATAATGATCACGCCACCAAACACACATTCAAACTAAAGGAACGAACCTGTTTTGAAAATGTAGGAAATAGAAAGTACAGGTATTTGTGTTCAAAATGTAAGAAGTAGAAAGTACAGGTATTTGTGCTAAAAATGTAAGAAGTAATAGTAAAAATTCGTCAGAAAAATAAGTGGTGGAGTAAAGTACTGATACCAGAGAAATGTACTTAAGTACGGTAACGAAGTATTTGTACTCCACTACTTCCCACCTCTGCTCTCTGTTAAACATACAGATGTAGCACTCTAGAACTCAGTTTAATTGAGATTATATGATAATTTGAAATTCATCTCCCCTCCTCCTCCGCAGACAGATGCTGCCTTGATGTACGACGCAGTGTTCATGGTTGCCGTGGCGTCGCAGCGAGCCACTCAGATGACCGTCAGCTCGCTGCAGTGTCACCGACACAAACCCTGGCGCTTCGGACCTCGCTTCATGAACCTCTTCAAAGAGGTGAGTGTCAGCTGAGGTCTTTGGATCACAGACAGCTAAAACACCCTGTTCCATTAGCAGCATGACTTCAGAAACCACCATGCCTTTTTAATGAACTGTTTTCAGTGTGTTTTGAAAGCACAGCCTACTTCAAATTGCCCTCGTAATGCCTCTGCTCCAAGCGTGAAACTTACCCAAGCGTGAAACTTACCTAGCTGCATGTCAGATCATTTCATGTGATACGATACATGATAGGTGGCTTCTGACAGGCCATGCTTTGCCTCTTAAAGTACACAACATGAAAATATACGGTTTTTATGTACTTATAAGTTGAAAGCTTGTGGTTTGGCCTGACTGCCAGACGGGATGCCTACAGACAGAAATGAGGCCTTTGATGCTTGAGTGTTTTGATCTGTTAAGTCTTAAACCCAGCGTTGCCCACCACGGAGAGGGAACGTTTTCATTCAATCCCCTCACTCATATTTCGCTCTTCATGCCCCCCGTCCTCTTTCTTTCTATCTTGGTGTCTCCTCATCTTTTCGTTTAGTTTGCCACCACCTATCCTTTGAAGCATCTGTCCTCCTGTGCCATTCATCACTAGATAAGAGCCTTTTTGATTGCAAGAACCAGTAATGCCTCACACAGCACTCAATTAAAAAGACTTTCTGCCAAGAGAGTGCAGAATATGAGTACACAGTTTTCATTTCATTGGCTGAAATTAAATCCCGGGCACTTTAACCTGCGTGTTTCCTCTCCCCCAGCTATTGTAGTCCCCAATACTCCGAATTGCTTCTGTGGAAAACATTAATGGAATTCAATTTCAAATGTTTGGAAACATTTTTGTTGTTCAATGTTCGTCATTTCATTACAGAAAAGGTGGAAATATCCTGGATTTCTAACGTTGAATCCTTGTAGAAACATTATTAAACCACAGAAAAGTGTTTCTTATATCCAGTTCATATCTTTTGATGTTTTTGGAGATTAATAATCCGTTTTTTCACACATGTCTAAGATATAAGAAATCATCCAAACATCCAAAAACGTTGTATGTGTTCCATAAAACAATATGGGAAAATAGAGAATCACTTTGTGAAGGAAATTCACTGCCATTAGGGTTTGTAGCGTGTGAAAAAAGGATTAGAAAACACTACAGCTTGTAAAATAAACAAAGTGCACATATTTAGATTAATTAGGTGTGAAAACAGACTGTCCACTGGGAAGACAATTAGTAATTACTCAGTACAAGGTGCATGCATGCTAACAAGCATACCAACTACAATTAACAATTTGAAACCCCTTGTATTGCATTGGGATGAATATGCATGTAAATTCAATTATGATCTCTTTCATGAACACAATTGTATGCATTTTGCGATTTTACCACAAAACCTCCAGTTGACATCTTCCAGTGTTCACCTAATGCTTCAATGACTTCATCCCTTTCACTGTCCCTCCTGGGAGTCTGCTGCAGAGCTTCAATACCACTCTGCACTCAGACTATCTCCCACTTCTCTCCCCCTCTGTGTCTCATCTCTGTAGGCACAGTGGGACGGACTGACAGGGCACATTGTTCTTAATAAGACCGACGGCCTGAGGAAAGACTTTGATTTGGACATCATCAGCCTCAAAGAGGACGGCAGTGCCAGGGTGAGCAGAGCGCCCTGGAACATCCAATTACACCACTCTCACACTGCTTCCACCCTGCCTGATTCAGTCCATTAATCAGTGTGTGTGTGTGTGTGTGTGTGCGTGCGTGTGTGTGTGAGAGAAAGAGAGAGAGAGAAAGAGAAAGAGGGGTGCTGTGGAGATTTTGTTTTCCATAATCCATCTACACATTTATTATTTGGTTTTGATTTGTCTGGTCATAAATATTAATAATACTGCAACAACTGATTATTTCTCTCCACACTGTCTGTGCTTCATGTGGCCCTATTCACATTTTCAAAAGGGTTTTGTGGAGGCAGGAAGTCGCCTCACGAAAAGGTGGATCAAGGTTTGTGCCAGTGCCCTGTTTGGTTCAAGCCTTTGTTGTTTGGCCCCCCTCCCCCCTTTCTCTCCCACTTTTCTCACTCTGTATGCCACGCACCTCCCGGCACCTTGCCTTGTCAACCCTGTTTCTCTTCGCTGATTTTGTGTACACCAATGCCATGTATTGGACATTTCGGTTTTCTCCGTGTCAGGGTCAAGGCATTGTTCTGACACGTCTCAAAACTTTATTAGCAAAGGTAAAACAAAAGTGATACCCTTTGGTTTGAAGAGACATTGCAATACCTCCATAGAAAAAGTAGGAAGCCATGCAAGTCCAAACGATGCTTAATTTGTCAGTCCACTCTTATAATGTGCTTAACTGCCTTCATACACACAAACAGTACTTAATGCAGCAAAGAAGGATGCAGTTAGCAGAGGAGACGACAGCTTAAGTCAGCATTTCGACTTGTTACATGAGCAGCAGATTGAGGCCAGTGCACAAGTTAAATAGTCACTGTGATGTGATTGCTTAAGTTGTGTGTCACATCATTCTTTCTCTGTACAATTAAGTCACATTTAAGAGCAATTTAAACTACTATTGGCTTTGTTCAGTCTCACAAAATATACTGTCAGTACTAAAGAGCAAATTAAGTAATCTTTACTTCACCACCTCTGCTTATTACCTTGAAACCAAGTATTTGTGAGTGAAAGAAAAAGGAATGTTTAATTAATTCATAGCTTAAAACAAATATATTACTGTCAGACGTACTTCCTCTCTGTCCATCTCAGTTGGCAGACAGACAGGTATGGGGGGAGGCAGCAGCTGTCAAGGTGCAGCAGCAGTGATTTATTCTGTCATTTTAATTCCATTCGGTACTTATTTTAAAAGCCTCCCTTTAGATGAAATACCACAACATGGTAAGCACATCACATAAACTGTTTGATTACGAATGAATTATCAGAGCGTTGCAGACGTGTTAGAGCTTGGGCACTGGAGTGTTAAATAAACTCTGAAGAGGATGATGGGACTAAACAAAGTCTCTTAGGAAATACAATTTTTTCTCTTAAAGTTGTTCACTTTCTGGTAGTACGTTTTTTCCCCCTCTCAGCGTTCTTGGCCGGGCTTAGTATGTCTCCCGCTTGTTGGTTACAGTTTTCCAGTCTGACTTGGTGTGTGGATGGAGATGAGCTAAAGGATTCATACAATATTTGACTTGTAGCATATGAGAGAGAGGTCCTGTCAGTTTGCACACTGTGTTGTTGGGAACTGCTTCTGGTACGTATGATAAATTCGCAAGGCTGCACAGTTAATCCTTGACTTAGGGGTTTAAAAGATGATGAATAAACGCTGTGCACTCTTCTAAGGCTATATTTTGTTGTTGATTTCATTTGCTTGGTCAGATCATTTTATTACTTAAAGGGGACCTATCATGCAAAATGCACTCTATGATGTATTAATTCCAGTGACCATCAACGGTTAGTGCGGAGTGGTTAGTGCGTTGGCCCCCCACTCATTTTTTTTTTTACAACGTCGCGTGAGTAATGTGCAGTACCGGAGTCCAACAGAGAGGCAGCAGCTGCGGGACAGTAGACTGCGTACTGCGTAGCCTTCCCTGCCTTGAAGAAGAAGTGATCCTTCGTTGTGAAGAGTCTGCTTTATGCGCTCCGCAGCAGTATCCCCGCTGCGACAGAGTCCAACAGAGAGGCAGGAGCTGCGGGACAGTAGCCTAGAAGTGAACCTTCGTTAGCGTGAAGAGTCTGCTAAGCTTAAGCGCTCCGCAGTACCTGAGCGTGCTCCACCCCACCCCACCCCCCCGGTCAACAACTTCAAAATTCTGGGCTATATATAAAAACCGCTGGCCCGCGAAAGTGTCTATTGGATAAATGTTGGCCCTTGGACAGATGTTGTTGGTGATCCCTGAAATTATAGTCTATACATAAATATGTGTCCCCGGTGTTTCAGGGAACTCCCAAAGTGTCTGAAATCAAAACCCTCTCTCTTTTCCTCCGCACCCACATCTCTAAAAACGGGGGCATAACGAAGCTGATCGAGATTTGCGTCCGATATGACGTAATATCGTGTGGGTATGTGGGCTGGCTTTACAACCACTCCACTATCAGAAAGTTGCTCTCAGAAACCATGGGCGACGTGTTTTGGACGTAATATGGTCTTTGTTTACATTAGCTAGCATCGCTAACACTCAGAGCTAACCTGTATTGGAGAGTATGTGTAAAAAAGCAGGAAATAAAGAAAGGAACTCACCTTGTGATAAACCCGCAAGAGAAAAAGCATTTGAGCTCCATACTGTTTCAGAAATAATCCTTGATGTGTTTGGAACATGATATGGCGTTTCATCACGGCAGCATTTACCTTTATCTCCGTTATAATTAAGGGCAGGCATTAGCTACCCCCCCCCCCTCTTTTTTTTGTTCAAGCTAAGGACCCCGAACCTGCACTTCTCTAACAGGCCTGAAATAGAGGGGTATGAGGGATGTCTAAAATGCATGATCTGTTTGGTATTTTGAGCAAAACACATCATAGACATGTTTGTTATATATCTGAGACCCATAATATACAGTATGCCTAAAAATAGCATAATAGCAGAGCTTTAAGCTTTAAGTTACTGTTGATATGTTCCTTTTGTAACCAAGACCATGATCTGTCTAATTCATTTATATAGCACATAATAGATAGATGTTACTTCCAACAGGGTTGTTTTCAGGTTGTACATTGTACTGTATAGTCCTAGCATTCCTTTGATAGCACTTGATTTGAGGCGACAGTTTGCTCTCATGCATAGAATGTGTGTGTCTTTACTTATGTCATTGTTCAGACAGTTCTTTAACACAAAGTGATGATGGTGAACTACAAAAGTGCTAACTTGTGCTGAATTCCACACAGAATTCCTTGGAAAAAATGTAAAGCAAGTGAGAAAAAAGTGCTGATGATGACATTGCTCATCACGTAGTTCGCCCTTCTCCTGGTATGGCTTTATGCCCTGACAGAGTCAACAAGGAGGTTGTTACCAAGTTTATGGGACACTATTACAGTATGCTAATAAACACGCAAACACTGGTCCGTTAACATTGCTCTGGTGTCTGGCTTTGTGACCAATCTGATATACTCAGAGTGTAATAGTGGGGATGGCCAAATGAATCAGGGTGTCCCAGCTGACTAAGCTGATAAAGTTGGGACACAGGGCGCAGGCTATGCATGCTAAGCAGTGTCGTGATGGAGATGTAGCACAGAGATCCAGTGATACTATAACTCTTCCTGGAGAATTGGCTGCACGGTGCACAACCCTGAGCTTTTACTCTCTGCTTTAATGCATAATAATTGAGTTTAGAAGAATCCTGGTTTTAAGAGAGCAAAGATGTTCCTTTCTAAATGTGTAGATCAACAAAAAATGATGACACGATGTGATGAGTTGATTACATTCTTTGGTAATAGGTCATTATCTTGCTTTTTTCTCAGACAATACAATTAAGCTTAAACATGTAAATTGATTATTATGTGGAACTTATGTAGCCAATTACTGAGGAGAAATAAATTGAATATATACTTTAGCAAATACACACATGTATATGCCTTTCTAATTAGAAAGTTAATACTTAATTATAATTGCACCCAAACGGTTTCTCCTGTAGAAATGTAACATTTCACCTTTTGACCTTACAGCCACTGCACATTTGTGTGAGCTCTCAAAGCTTAAATTACTGAGGATTAAACATGCCAAATCTTCTTTGTGCTATCCCTGTTTTTCATTACTAGTGTGGAAGCTGGAAGAAAACACAGCAAAACTGTATTTGTAAGTATTTGCTCATCAATTTTCTGCTCTGGCTTTATGCTGTTATTATGAAATGACTTTGAGTGTGAAGTCAAGCAGAATGTCAACTAGAAAGCAAGGGTATTTTCCCCTTTATCCCTCCAGAATGTTGGAAAGCTTTCCAAGCAAGTACGCTGAACATGTGTACCAGACAAAGTAAATATTTAGCTCACTTAACTGTCGGAACATAAAGAAATGATGTGTACCTCACATTTATTACATATTAGCTGTCTTATTCCCATAAGACATGTAATATTTGAAAAAGGTAGACAAATAAACCTGGAAGTGGCTGACAGCTTCAATAAGCCTGGGCTGTGACAAGAGCTCCCAATGGATAACACACACAGGCACGAACCAACGCACGCAACAACCCTACAACACACATCCCATACAAGTCTTTTTTTTTTTCACTTTTTCAGGTGCACAGTCAAGCTACTTGTTGTAATGTCGCTCTTTCTCGCCTTTTGGCACTAAGTTGTATGTCACTGTGACTTACTATTCCTACCTCTATTAACTTATACCATATGTACGCACATGTGTACACTATGTAAAGGTGAAAACACGCAGGCAAAAACCCAGAACTCACCATTATTTCTCAACCTTCGACATGCTTACAAGGGAAACAGCATGTGCAACACACCAAAACAAAACTTATTTACTGGCTTAGTGGGTCGTTTTTATTTGCTGTTGCTAATACAAGTCACATGCTTTCCTGTGACTTCATCTTTTTCTTTTTCAGTGAAATTTGGTAGAACCCAAATAAAATGCAGTCCCTACAACATTTTAAATAGTTTACAATGCATCTTATCTCTTTGAGATGTATGTTATTTTTGTACATGGTCCCTGACAACTAAACCAATACACTAAACTAAACTAACTCAACTTTAACAAACCTAATGTGGTGTAACTTGTATGTGACACAATGGGTGTGCCCATGAGTCATGACGCAAAAATATAAGGTAGGATACACAAAAAATGTAATGTGTGATTATGCTCCAGATAGAACTTTTATAAGTGAGTTTGATTTAACTGTCGTAGTTATCACAAAATCCTTTAAACAGCGGGGCAGCAATGAGCAACAATGTGAGTGTCCCGAGATTACCATGGAGACATGTCCTCAAACTGAACTGTAGCCTTCGCCCAGCGTGCTTTGTTCCATTCCAAAACTCAGCCCTGCCTACTTGTCTATTGGCAATTTCAAATTCTGTATTTTCTTTCCATTTCGTCTTGAATCCTTTGAAAAAGTTCTATTTTCCCCTTACCTAAACTCTGGCCTGTGGAGGTCAGGAGCATTAAAATATATAGAGAAAGGGACAGGTGCTGAGTGAGTAATGGGAGATATGAATGATATAATAAGAAGATGACAAGATCTGTATCTGACACAAAGAGAAGAACTGAGAGGGAAAAACTAAAAGCAATAAAAAAGAATAATAACAGAGAAAGAGAAGTGTTGTGAGAGAGAAAGCAGGGGAGACAAATCTAGTGAGAGAAAAGCAGAGGAAAAAGGGATTAGACAAAAGTGTGAGAACAGAGGAGAGACTCCTGTGGAGTTTTACTTTTGGAAAATGAGTCAGTCTCAGCAGGTGGGTTGACAAGAATCTCGGGACAGATTCCCAGCTCCCATGATGCTCCGCAGCATCTCATAACAGAACAGAGAAGACATGCCACGCTGCTACGATGCTGACACGTTGCATGAAGGTGTTGAACAACCTCCAGCTTTAGTAGCACACACAGATCTGCTCTGAGTGAAGTGGCCAGCTGGTGTTACTACCTTACACACGTTCACATAACACAAGATGTGCGTGTGCGTGTGTGTGCGTGTGTGTGTGTGTGTGTGTGTGTGTGTGTGTGTGTGTGTGTGTGTGTGTGTGTGTGTGTGTGTGTGTGTGTGTGTGTGTGTGTGTGTGTGCGTGCGTGCGTGCTTGCGTGCGTGCGTGCGTGCGTGTGTGCGTGCGTGTGTGCGTGCGTGCGTGTTGTGTCTGATAGTGTGTAATTCAGGAGACTTCTTTGTTCATCAGA